GAGACAAAAACAAGGAAAAAGGTGAGGTGAAGAAAATCGCTTGTCGGTGATTCTTCACTGATCTGCCTGCATTCTCCACCAGTGTAACGGGGTGAAGAATCACACGACAAGGAAATCTTAATAAATACCCCAGAGGGTGGATTTATTAGTGAGGTGGGTGTTAGGGAGAAAGGTCCAGGTAGGTGCTCCGGTGCCGCCGCCTGATGAGCTGCAGCTGTGACCGATCAGCCTGTGATGAGGATGGCCAGGTGTTGCTTGCTTGTTGCCAGGGCGATGCTGATGAAGCTTCGGGACGCTCGTCACAATATATTTAGAAAGAAGTGTAAACAATTTTGAATTATTGTGTGTAAATGATGACAGCTGTGTTGCAGTTGTGCTTAACGTTTGCTTTCTTGTGCTTATGGTTTTGCATCACAAGTTCATCACAGTGCAAATTGTGTCTTAGTGAGTGAAAATGTGTTTAGTGTTTTGCAAAAAGAGTGCATGAGATCTGCAAACAGTGTCTAAACTGCCTGAACTTGTATAAGGTTTTGCAGAAAGAGTGATTTATTTGACAAATTGGTTTAGGCTATTGAGAATTTGGTTCAGAGAATGGGGTTTAGTGTCTTAGCAAATGTGAAAAACTGTAAGAATCATACGTATGTAAACTTTTGAACAGGATCATTTTTATAAATTCAACTTATTTTCTCTTGTGGGCTATATGTAAACGTCTTTTATGTGAAATATCTTATTCAGGTCAGTACAAAATAAAAAAATAACCTGCATTATGTATGGTCCCTCTTATTTTGGTAAAATAACATTTTGCAGATTCTGCAAGGTGTATGTAAACTTTTGACCTCAACTATAGTTAAAAGAGCAAAACGTCATGAATTAAGTGTTTGATCGGAAAGTGATTGTAACACTTATGTTCAGCTAACTTTGTTCACATGACAGCTCAAAACTACAGTCTGAAATGTAAGCTTTGATGATTGCAGATTTTACCTGCAGTTGTAGCGGTCATTTACAGCTACTTTATCATTCATTTACAAGACCCTTTTAACTGTTATCTGCCAACATTTTAATTTTTTTTATAGGAACGACGAGGACACATTCAAGATCCTCATTGCTACTGACATTCACCTCGGTTATCTAGAGAAGGATGCCATAAGAGGAAACGACACGTTCGTAACCTTTGATGAGATCATGAAACAAGCCGTGCAAAATGAGGTGGGAATGAAATAATGTGGACATATTTTTTGTGACTTTGTGGTGATTTTGTAGTAAATAATTTATGTGAAATGATTACATACATTTACAAAAATCCATCCAAGAATTGTCTCCCTTTCAATTTGTGAATTGTAATTTTAATTAAATTGAATTTTGGAGAGTACCCAAGAATGTATTGGACGTAATCAGCGTTGTTTACTTTCTGGGGGAAATCGCGTGCATGAACGCTTATGTGGCCGCCGCCTGATGAGCTGCAGCTGTGACCGATCAGCCTGTGATGAGGATGGCCAGGTGTTGCTTGCTTGTTGCCAGGGCGATGCTGATGAAGCTTCGGGACGCTCGTCACAATATATTTAGAAAGAAGTGTAAACAATTTTGAATTATTGTGTGTAAATGATGACAGCTGTGTTGCAGTTGTACTTAACGTTTGCTTTCTTGTGCTTATGGTTTTGCATCACAAGTTCATCACAGTGCAAATTGTGTCTTAGTGAGTGAAAATGTGTTTAGTGTTTTGCAAAAAGAGTGCATGAGATCTGCAAACAGTGTCTAAACTGCCTGAACTTGTATAAGGTTTTGCAGAAAGAGTGATTTATTTGACAAATTGGTTTAGGCTATTGAGAATTTGGTTCAGAGAATGGGGTTTAGTGTCTTAGCAAATGTGAAAAACTGTAAGAATCATACGTATGTAAACTTTTGAACAGGATCATTTTTATAAATTCAACTTATTTTCTCTTGTGGGCTATATGTAAACGTCTTTTATGTGAAATATCTTATTCAGGTCAGTACAAAATAAAAAAATAACCTGCATTATGTATGGTCCCTCTTATTTTGGTAAAATAACATTTTGCAGATTCTGCAAGGTGTATGTAAACTTTTGACCTCAACTATAGTTAAAAGAGCAAAACGTCATGAATTAAGTGTTTGATCGGAAAGTGATTGTAACACTTATGTTCAGCTAACTTTGTTCACATGACAGCTCAAAACTACAGTCTGAAATGTAAGCTTTGATGATTGCAGATTTTACCTGCAGTTGTAGCGGTCATTTACAGCTACTTTATCATTCATTTACAAGACCCTTTTAACTGTTATCTGCCAACATTTTAATTTTTTTTATAGGAACGACGAGGACACATTCAAGATCCTCATTGCTACTGACATTCACCTCGGTTATCTAGAGAAGGATGCCATAAGAGGAAACGACACGTTCGTAACCTTTGATGAGATCATGAAACAAGCCGTGCAAAATGAGGTGGGAATGAAATAATGTGGACATATTTTTTGTGACTTTGTGGTGATTTTGTAGTAAATAATTAATTTATGTGAAATGATTACATACATTTACAAAAATCCATCCAAGAATTGTCTCCCTTTCAATTTGTGAATTGTAATTTTAATTAAATTGAATTTTGGAGAGTACCCAAGAATGTATTGGACGTAATCAGCGTTGTTTACTTTCTGGGGGAAATCGCGTGCATGAACGTAATCTGCGTAATAAGTGTTGTTTACGCTTGGGGGAAAGTGTGTGTATGCATTGTAATACTCTCTAAAATGGCGGAAGACGTAACTCGGGGGAGAAGAATGTTGAGTAAATTATTTTTTTTTTCTTTACGCAAAAAAAAATATATATATTCTCGTAGCA